AAAGCATCAGCATGAAGAAAAACAACGGAATTATGCAAGTTATTGCATTGAATAAAATCTATATATTCTTAAGTCCTTAGACTCCGCAGCTTGGAGTCTCAGAGTACAACCCTCAGAGTAGAACCCATGCTTCAAGCCATGTCTTCAGATACTGTTTCCAGTATATTCTAGAAAAGAACTAAACCATTTTAGTCCATTTAAAAAGTATTGCCTGAATTTGTCATATCAGTTCTTGTTGGCAGCTGTCACTTTTCACAAATACCACTTTCAAATTCTAATGAAAACACCATTCACAAAAAGATTTTAATTAGATCAAGTCAGACAACCAATATTTTAAAAAGGCATTCATACTTTTAAGTGCTTTTGAAATAAGTAGCTACTTGGCAGAATGTAAGATCCAAGCACAGGTATACATGCCCGCTTGTTGGATGCTTATCATGTCAATATGTCGAATATATATATTCTCCCAAATGGGGGCGATTGGATGGCCACTCTCCTGACCTGCCGATTTTTAATGATTCAGTGTGCCCTCATTCCTTTTCTCATAGAAAAAGGAATAAAAATAGCTTGGTTCTCCTGTATGTCTCATCTTTCTGGAATTAATTCTGCACATTACTGCAGAGATTTTGTAAAATTTACTGGATTGAAGATTGCCTTGACTTGGGAAATCCTATGCTAGTAGAATACAATATGAATGATAGGTCAAAGAAAAGAAATAACTAATTCCTCACGACAATAAAATGCCAATATATCATAAAGATTTACATTTGACTATATTAAATGCTTTTATAAAAATAGATTATGTGATTATCTTGAGAACTATATGTGTAACAAACCTTACCATTTATAACAGCATATTATTTTCATTAATATTGGAAACAGTCACATTAACTCTATCGCAAAACATATTTCCCCGTTTTTCTCCTATACCACTTCTGCCTTGTGCAAATGTGTATATATCTACAAACAGATGTATGAATACACTGATGCACACATGTACAAGTTCTTATATAAAAAACACATGTACACACAATACACATCTTCTGTATGTGAATGTACAAGATAAAGCTTCACTTATAACATTTCACCCTGACATAATTTAATTCATCAAAATGAGAGTAGTTTATTCTATCACTATGTAAGTAAGTGGCTCATGAGAGAGGGACACTGGCCCAGGTCACCTAAAAAGCCTCTCTCAATATATATTAGAAACTTAATAGTTCTTGTAAATCCATTTAGCTACTCACAAAATGCCAACTTCTAAAGTACCAAAAGAAGATAACATTACTTCTAAAGTCAACAGTTTGAACTTGACCTATTACCTTCAATTACATCTGTACAAATTGTTTGCTGCAGTTTATGCCCCCTTACTGTACAACTGTGAAAGATAAGAATAAACTGTCTACATTATACACTTAATTCAAAGTATGTAATTGAAATAACAAGAATGTGGAAAGCATACAGCTAAGTTATCATCCATACTGACATTTTTCTTATTGGTGGTACTGTTAGTATTATGGGATGGATGCTTCAAGATAAACTTTTAGGACTTGACATTTTCAACACTTTGGATGAAGATCATTGAGGACTTTTTCATTGCCTTTCATGTTTCAGCCACGGCACTGCTAGAAAGACAAACTAGAAATTACTTCTATTTTCCTTTGTTCATAGAGGCTAATTTTGTAAATGTCCTTATTTCTAGCAACTCTTAGAAGAACCAGGTATTGAATGGGTTGTTCTTCACAATGCCTAGGGGTGAAATAGTATACAGGATGATGCATAAGTAGTCATCATCCCTATGATATGATTAATGAGAAGAAATTGCACAAGAAATCACATACTATTTTGGAAAATAAGGAATTGCAGTTGCCTCTGTTTTTAGTAGCATCTTCACAAGTTTTAGGTAAAACCCATTAGCTTTGAAGTCCTTTTGTTTAGTACTTTCAAGGATAGGCAAATTAGGTGACTACTCAACCAAGCACATTGATTGACACAGGATGGTGGCAGAAATGTGTATGTTTCTCATTCTTATTTCCTTAATAATCTTAATCACTCACAACTATCTCCTGAATTCCTCTTTTATATATGTGAGAAATTTTACTGCCTATTATCTCTCAATTTATTGGTCTGATATTTGCATGTGAATTTATTCAAAGCTGCCCTTGCAAAACACACAGGGAAAAGTACAGAATTTGAAGATGATGTTTGATGAGTGGCTGCTCATGGTTCCCATTCTAGCGAGAGAGCATAACAGTTTCATATTACTATTAACCAGACAAAGTGGGTATTTCATTATGTTTAATTCATGACAACTAAATGTATCACAATTTGACTGAGAGAATCTTCCATTGAATAACTTCTTATTCAAGGCATTGTCTTAGAAATTTGTTTTCTAGTGGAACACTTACTGCTTTATTTGGTAGAGTTTCTTATTAAGTCTTTATTGTTTAAGGAAGTCACAAAAATGGTACTATAAATATACAAATAGTTGTTTAGAATCTACACTGCTGACATTATGATTTATGTAAACAATGCCAGCCTAAAGACAGAATACAGTAACTTTTAAAACATCAATTTGGGAAAAAAAGAGATGCCTCATTTCCTGGCTGTGTTTCA